AGAAAGAATCAACACAAGATCTATTTAGGTATTACTTATTTTTGGATATCGTCCAGGACATCATCCTAGATGATGCACATAATAATGCCTAAATTAATCTGGTAATTATGGAAAGTTATTAAGGCTTGATTAATATGATCACATCGTCCTGGACGATCACAGGATCGTCTGGGATGATCAGTTCAAAATGCCATAGTTGCTCCTCGACGATCAACATCGGATAGCTTTTATTCAGAATGATACTTTGGACAATTTTCATGGATTTGAACTAATCATCCAGGATGATCATGAGATTGGCCGGGACGATCAAGCTATTTTTTCACCATCTAGACAAGCATTCAGAGCAATTGTGTGGTCGATAATTTTTGATTTGAACTAATCGTATAGGATGATATTTAATCATCCTGGATGATATAAGTAAAAAACTTCTGATCGTTCCAAATTATCCTGGCTGATTGAGCTTAATTTTCATTGATCGTACATGATAATATTAATATCCTAGACGATAAAGTTGGCACGTTATAATTAATGAGCTATTCTGAAGCTATTCTATAGAATCTCTCTTATATCACCCATGAGGGTATCTTTTGCTGCTATCTTGACCTAAGAGAGCTTAGAGGAGAGGGAGAGAAAGTGAGGATCTTATGAGGGGGAGTTTGTGAGAGGGTTTCACAAAGGTTGCTCGAAACTTGGATCCACATCTTCTTCTTCCATCATAGTCCCTTATCCTTAGAGGGTTAAGAGAGGTTCACTTCAGAAATCAATCAAGGTTCTCTACCTGTTTCATGAGGAAGCAAAAGGAGTTGGGTTCTGTGCCTCATCGGTGTCAGTGGAAAGGAGTTTTTAAAAGGCTTCTCCGCCTTGATGTGGCAGAAAAAAGAGAGTCATTGTGTTTTAGTGCAATACTCGGAGGATGCCTCTGGGGAGTGGACGTAGGTTGTGTTGACCGAACCACTATAAATCTTTGTGTTCTTCACAACTATTTCTTTCACATTTATTTTTTCTGCACTTTGATTATCGTTATGGTGAATTTTGGTTTATGTTTTGAGTTTTGATTTGAAGAAATTTTAAAATACCAATTCACCCCCCCCCCCCATCCCCCCCCCCCCCCCCTCTTGGTTAACCTCGGGCTAGTTCATAAGGGCTTAACATCCCTAAGGAACTTTCAAGTAGTATAAGAGCAGGATTCATAAAAATAAGTTTGAAAACTTTTTGAATTTTGATCCATGGCTAACTTTGGTAATTGCAATACTGCGGAAGGGTATTCTATTACCCGACCACCTTTTTTTGATAATATTCCTATTGATTTTTGAAAAACTCGCATGTTTACGTTTTTTCAATCAATTGACTATCGCATGTGGATGCTGTTAAGGATGGTTATACACATCCGATTGTTAAACTTAATGGCGCTACTGTTCCACTTCTTTTTATTAAATGGACTCTTGATGATAGGGATTTAGCTCAACTTAATATAAAATTTTTGAATTATTTTTTTTGTTCTTTAAAATTTAAAGATTACTTGTGTGTTTCAACTTGCACTACTAGTAAAGAGATTTGGGATAAATTATGTATTACTTATGAAGAAACTAATAAGTTAAGCAATCTCGATTGAATATTTTTTTGCATGATTATGAACTTTTTTGTATGAAATATTCTGAATCAATTTTTGAAATGTATACAAGATTTACTCAAATTATTACCTCTTTGCATGCCTTAGGAAGAGAGCTCACCAACTATGAAAAAGTGAACAAAATTTTAAGATGCTTGCCTTCCTCTTTTGATGCTAAGATTATTGCAAATATTGAATCCAAAGATTTGAATATTTATTCGATTGATAACTTACTTGGATCACTTATTTCTTACAAGCAAGGGTTGAATTAAAGAAATTTTGATGCAGGTGGAAAAAAAGGAGAAAAATGTGGCACTTCAAAAGCTTTGTAAGGAAAAAAGAAAAAGAACCATCAAAAGTGGAATAAAGGTAAGGGAAACAAAAATTTTAAGATTTCTAATGATATGATTTATTTTTAATGCTGGAAGCCAGGACATGTTAAAGCTGATTGTCCTACACTTAAGTCTCACCCAAGCAAGGAGAAGGGAGAGGAGAAACCCAAGTTCAAAAAGGATAAGAAGAGATTTTAAAAGGCATTCTGGGCAGATTTTGCATCAGACTCCTCTAAGACTGAAGCTGAAGAGATGACAACAAACTTGTTCTTAATGGAAGATAATCATTTTGGTCAAAGTGACCAAGAAGAGGTATGTAAACTAACTTATGAGCAATTACCTGAAGTTTCTGAAAAAATTTATACATCATATAGGAAACTTAGGCGTTCAAAAATCTAATTATATGATTTTGTATTAAGTTTCTGAAAAAATTTATAGTGAGAGAATCTTAGTGATAGAATCTCTGGGAATTCATGAAGTGAAGTCTATGGGTCCTAAATTTACCTGGTGTAACAATAAATCAGGAGGAGCTCGGATCCTAGAGAAATTAGATAGATGTCTTATTAACTCCAATGCTTTGAACTCTATTCACCTTGCTAAGGTGAAACATCTATCTCGCATAGCGTCAGATCATTGTCCTGTTTTATTAAATATTTTCAAACCTGTGGTGTTTATTAAAGCTGATATTCATTATGAAGACGTATAGGAAACTTATCATGGAGCAGAGGCTATTGTGAAGAAATCTTGGAATAAATTTACTGGATTGAATCCGGCTAATTTTCTAAATGTTAAGTTCAGAAGAACTCTTAGATCTCTTTTTTACTGGAGCAAGGCCAAATTCAAAAACCTTACGATTCTTCGGGACAAATTAAAAGAAGAAATACAAGAATTGCAATTGGAAGAAGGAGAAATGGGGATTTCTGTGGAAAAGCTTCAGATTTTAAGATTCAAAATTAATGAACTCAATGAACTCTTGCTAGACTCAATACTTGGTGGAGGAAAAGAGCTAAAGCAAGGTGGATGGATGAAGGAGATTGAAATTCGGGTTTCTTTCATGCTTTTGCTAATGCTAGGAAAAACAACAACTGGATTAGTCACATCAAAACCAAGGAAGGGAAGATCACGGAGGATGCTAATGAAATTCAGAAAGTTTTTTCTGAATTTTTCAATCTAAAATGGAAGCATAGAAACTGTTTAATTGAAGGATGGCCGAATCTTAGAGCTGTAATCAATGTGAATGATCAAGCTATTTTGGATGCTAAATTCACGAGGGAGGAGCTTCATGCTATCATTCAAAATTCTGGTTGCAATATTGCACCTGGAGTGGACGGGATCACATTTTCTTTCCTGAAAAATTTCTGGAATCTGATTTATGAAGATATTTGGTTAGCAGTGAATCACTATATGGTTTCTGGAGATATGCCAATATCGTGGAAGGAAACCATTATAGTATTGATTCTGAAAATTCAAAATCCTCAAGAGGTAACAAATTATCGACCTATTAGCTTATGTTTGACCATTTATAAAATTATTGCAAAGATGCTCTTGAGTAGATTGGAATTGGTTATTCATAAATTAATCTCGACGGATCAAGCTGCTTTTATCAAAGGACGCTCCATGTCAGATCATGTTCTTTTAGCTCAGGAAATTTTCAATAAATTTTGGTATTCTAAAGCTAGGAAAGGTCTATTGGCAATAAAGCTTGACATGGAACAAGCTTATGATAGCATGGGATGGGATACTTTAAGGCAAGTGCTTTCTCATTTTAACTTTCCTACTAAGTTTAAGGAACTCATTTTACAGTGTATCTTAAATCCCAAGTATTGAATTTTGATTAATGGTAAGAAATCAGATTGGATTTATAGAAAAAGTGGATTTAGGCAAGGTTGCCCTTTATCCCCATATTTGTTTATTATTTGCTCCCAAATCCTTTCAGATGCTCTTAATGGTAGGAAAGGTGATATAGGGATTTTTATTTCTCCCAAGGCTCCTAGAGTATCCCATTTGCTTTATGCAGATGATATTTTGATTTTCTCTGAATGCAATAGTAAAGTTATTAATGATTTGAAAACAATCATTAATAATTACTGCTTATGGTCGGTGCAAAAAGTTAAAAAGGAAAAGTCTATGGTTATTTTTGGCAAGTTTACTAACCATAGGACTAAAAAGAGAATTTCCAAATTTCTTAAATTAAATGTGGTCAAAGAATTGAATTATCTTGGGGTAAAGATGACATTGAGGAGGGTGGTATCTTCGGATTTCTCTAGACTCATGGAAGTGGCAGCAAATAGATTAAACATTTGGGGACAAAAATTCATATCTTTTGAAGGCAAGATGGTTCTCATTAAATCTGCTTTCCTCTCCCTTCCTATGTCCTTAACTTCTATCTCCCTTGTTCCCTTAAGCATTTTGAATGAATTTGATAAAATGTGTAGAAGCTTTTTGTGGAAAAAGAACAATGGTAATACAGGTATTCACTATACTTCTTGGAAAAAGTTATGCAAAACCAAGGAAGAAGGAGGTAGAGGACTATTCTCTGCTGTGTCTAGGATTGGTCCTTTACGGGCAAAACTAGCATGGAATTTCTGTACAAAGCCTTCTACCATGCTGAATCAAATTTTAAGAGAAAAATATGGTGACGACGTCTGGTTAACTCCAATGAAAAGAGATTGCTCTTCGACATGGAAAATCATCACTATGGGAGCTCAATATCTTAGAAACATTGTTAGATGGAATGTTTCTAATGGCAATTCAATTAACTGGATGTTCGATAGCTGGATTATGGATAGAAGCTTAGCAAGATGGCCAACATTTGTAAACTGTTCTGAGAACAGTGAATTAAAACTGAGTTATTTCATTTCTAATGGGAAGTGGAATTCTGATCTGATTCAAAATACATTTGGGGAACATCTGAGGGAGCTTATTCTTCATGTTCCAATTCAAGTCGAAAAAGGATTGGATAGCATTGAGCTTAATTCTAAATTCTCAGGAAAATCAATTGCTGCTCTGGTTTTTAATCAGCTTCGCATAAAGATGATGATGGTTCAATATGGAGCTGGATGAAGAAATTGAAGTTGAGACCGAAGATTGAGCTATTCCGGTGGAGTCTGTACAATGACGGCTTACCTTCTAATGATTTTCTAGTTAGAAGGAAATTGAGCAATCTCTCAGGCTGCCCGAGGGGATGTATGGAAGATGAGAATGAATGGCATATAGCAGGTAATTGTTCAAAGCTTCATGAAGTAATCTTTTTGCTCAATAAATGGGGATTCCAAAATCCAATCTTCAACAATTTGCAAGATTGTTTTGAAGGTTTAAAGAAGCTTGTGGGGAAAAATTCTATCATTGCCAAAATGTATTGTACGTCTACTTGGCTAGTGTGGAAAAGTAGATGTAAATTGATTCATGATGGCATAGAAGACTCCAATAATTTCTTTGCATCCTATGTGGTTTCTACATCTACATTCAGTAATTTTTTTAATCAAGGTCCGGAAAACTGGGATACTAACCAGCGTGAGCTGTTTTGCTCTTGGTATCCTCCTCCAACCGGTTGGATTAAATTAAATGTAGATGCTTCTATCTTATCAAACAATGTGGCTGGATTTGGAGGTGTAATAAGAGATGAGAAAGGTATATTCCTTCTAGCTTTTGGAATAAATATTATGCATTGGGATATTGCTCAAATTGAATTGATGGCAATTCTTCACTTGAAGTATATATTTCATGATTGGATGTTTGAAGCTCAAGGAATCATTATTGAAGGAGATAATTTCAACATTATCAATATTCTTCAATCGGCTATGAAGAATTGGAAGGTTAGTAAACGCATTGAAGAGAAATTCTCATTCCTTCTTGATTTCAATCAGGTTATGTTTTCTTTTAGTAAAATATGTTGTAACAAATTAGCGGATATATGTGCTAATTTGGCTTTAAAGAGTTTGTTCACTTGGGAGAACATTGGTAGTCAAGATATTCCTCCTCCATTCCTGTTTTGCTTGAAGGAGGAATGTGACTCTTTAGGTTTGCTTTAGGCCTTGTTATTAGGCTCTTCTTTTTATTATTATTAATGCTATTTGCATTTCTTAAAAAAAAAATATCGGAAACTTAGGAAAACTCATGCTAGCTTGAAATTGGATTTTTAAATTTACAAAAAGAGCATGAAATTCTTCTTAAAGATCATTCTACAATCGATAGCAATCACATGTCTTTACTTGATGAGTTTGATGCATTAAACAAAAAGCATAATGAATTATTTGATGCACGTGATTCTTTAAAATCATCTCATGCTGAGTTAAAAAAAGAGTTAGTAAATCTCAAAGCTTCTAAAAAAAAATTATTGCATGTATCACATAACTTTAAAAAGAAGCATCACCATATGAGTAGATTAGTACATCTTTTTCCTGGTGTTAGATGTTTTTTTATATGGCATGTTAGGACACATTACACACACTTGCACACACTTGCACCATTCATCGTAGTATACAGTGGGTGTAGAGACCCAAATTGCATGATTCACAGCATAACACACATGCCTTGCATACTACTTTTCATAAGAAGGGAACCAAATATGTTTGAGTTCCTAAATCTGACGTTTGATGATTTTGCAGGCATGCTCTCACAAAAGGCCTCATGAGAGCATGTGGTACCTGGACAATGGATGCTCATGACACATGGATGGAGATACTAATTAATTTATTTCATTGGAGGCCAGGGCTGGAGGCAAGGTCACTCTTAGAGACAACACCACCAGGAAAGTTGTGGGCACATGTATAATTGGAAACTCCAAGAACCTTTTGATTGAAAATGTTTTTCTTGTAGATGGACTGAAACACAACTTGATCAACATCAGTTAGCTTTGTGATAAGGGCTTCTTCATAAAATTTTTGGCAAACACTTGCGTTATAAGCTTAAATAATAACACTATTTTGCAGGGAAAGCCAATCAACAATGTTTACATGATTGATTTAAATAATATTAAATGTGCTGCTTTATTTTGCTTAAAAATTACTACTAATGATTCTTGGTTGTGGCATAGGAGATTATATCATGCTAGTATGAAAACCCTTAGGAAAGTGACCCAAAAAGACCTAGTTAGAGGTGTTCCCAAGCTTAAGTTTTCAAAAGACCACCTTTATGATGTCTGCCAATTAGGAAAGCAATTCCACTCCACTTTTCACTCCATTAAGGACATTAGCACCTCTAGATCCTTAGAAGTCCTTCACATGGATTTTTTTGGACCCATTAGCACTACCAGCTTAAGAGGGAAAGTCTATGGTTTTGTGATTGTCGATAACTACTCAAGGTTTACTTGGATTAGATTTATGTCACATAAGAATGAGTCTTTTGATGAGTTTAGAGCCTTCTTCACTTGGATTCAGAAAATGCTAGGCTGTGAGATCTTGACTATTCATAGAGACCATGGCGAGGAGTTTGAAAATGAGAGATTGGGAGACTTTTGTGAGGATAAGGGCATTAGCCATAACTTCTCAGTTCCTAAGACCCCTTAGCAGAACGAGATAGCTGAAAAGAAGAATCAAATCTTAGTTGAAGTTGTTAGAGCCATGCTTACTGATCATTCACTTCCAAAATGCTTTTGGGCTGAAGCAATAAACACAGCTTGTTATGTGTTAAATAGGATAAATGTTAGAGCCAAACTTGATAAGACACCCTATGAGATCCTTAAGGATAGGACACCCAATCTTTCCCACCTCAATGTCTTTGGTTGTATGGTTTTCATTCATAATAATGGGAAGTCTAACTTAGGAAAATTTGACACAAAATCTAATGAAGGAGTGTTTTTAGGATATTCTAGTGTTAGGAAGTCTTTTAGGGTATTTAATAAGAGGATATTGGTGGTGGAGGAGACTACTCATGTAGTGTTTGATGAATATGATCCTAAGAAGTCTAAAGTTGAGGAGGAAGATGATATTGAAGAGAATACCACTAGAGGTGAAAAATTTGGAGAAGAGGGTAGAGCCTCAAAATACTGAAGGAGTAGGTGAGATTACCCAAGGAGTAGAAAATGTAGATCTAGAGGAAAGGATTAAATCTACACACACCTTGCCTAGAGTTTGGAGATACTCTTCGAGTCACCCTAAAAAATTGATCTTAGGAGACCCTTCTGAAGGAGTTAGGACTAGGCATGGACTTAGGAAGGAAGTGAACCACTCTATCTTTATCTTAATGATTGAACCCACCAACATTAATCAAGACTTTTCTGATGAGTTTTGGATCTTAGCCATATGAGATGAATAAAACCAGTTTGTTAGGAATGATATTTGGGAGCTTGTAGAAAGACCAAAGGGACAAAGTGTAGTTAGAACCAAATGAGTATTTAAGAATAAGGTGAATGACTCTGGTGTGGTGATTAGGAATAAGATAAGATTCATGGCTAAGGGGTACAACCAAAAAGAAGGGATAGATTTTAAGGAGACCTTTGCCCCTGTAGCTAGATTGGAAGCCATTAGAGTGCTATTATAAGGGATTTAAGCTTTTCCAAATGGACGTTAAGACTACCTTTTTAAAACGGGGTAAAAAAAGATGATGTATTTGTAGAATAACCCCCAGGTTTTGAGAGTTCCCAATTTCCAAATCATGTTTTCAAATTAAAAAATGCCTTATATGGATTAAAACAGGCACCCAGAGCTTGGTATGAGAGGCTTATCACATTCTTACTAGAGAGGGAGTTTGTTAAGGAGAGCGTAGATACTACCCTTTTTCTGAGGATAGTAGGACATGATTTATTCATTATTCAGATCTATGTCGATGATATTCTTTTTTGATCTTCTAATAAGAGGCTATGTGATGATTTTTCTAAAATAATGAGTAGGGAGTTTGAGATGAGTATGATGGGAGAGTTATCCTACTTTTTGGGGTTTAACATAAGACAATTGGATGGTAAAACCTTTCTAAATAAATCAAATTTCATAAAGGACATATTGAAAAAATATAAAATGGAAAAACCCAAGCTAATTAATATTCCAATGACCTGTAATGTTCAGTTGGGTAAAGACCCAAATGAAAAGTCTGTTGATCAAATGAAGTACAGAGAGATGATTGGATCTCTACTTTACCTGAATGCTAGTCAACATGATATAATATTTAGTGTTTATCTCTGTGTTAGATTTTAAACTGATCCTAAGGAATCCCACTTGACTGCAGTTAAGAGAATTCTTAGATACCTTTTAGGGACCCAAAACTTAGGATTCTGGTACCCTATGCATAACACTTCTTTTGAGATAATTTGATATTTTGATTCTGATTTTATAGGATATAGGGTGGATAAAAAGAGCAATTCTAGAACTTGATAATTCATAGGACAGTCTTTAGTCTCTTTCTCCAGTATAAAACAAAACTCTGTTGCACTTTCCACTGCTGAAGCTAAGTATATTGCCTTAGGGAGTTGTGTGGCCCAAGTCTTTTGGTTGAAGTAGCAAATTCTAGATTTAGGATTACCTGTAGCATAATCTCAATCCTTTGTGACAATACTAATTTCATTTGCATTTTTAAGAATTCTATACAACATTCAAGGACTAAGCACATCGACATAAGGCGTCACTTTGTTAAAGATCATGTGACCAAGGGAGACATTGAGCTACACAATGTGGCAACTAAGAATCAACTGGCTGACATCTTTACTAAACCACTGTCCTTTGACACTTTCAGCACTTTAAGAATGATATTGCGTGTGATTGATATAAATGCATGAACTTTATTCCTACTAATTTTTTATTTATTATCTATTATTTATTTTTCACGACTATTTATTTTTGTTGTTTTTATTTTTGTTGCTTTACTTTTTGTATACTTTAATTTTTCTTATAATTATTGTTGAAATATATAATTTATTCCTTATTTTTGTTTTTGAAAATTTGTAGATAATGTTTTAAATCTCTTATTCAGTTAAAGAGGGAAACACTGTTGATTGTTTCCTTTTTCTCTAACTTGAAAGTTCGTTAGGGATGTTAAGCCCTATAGAATTGACCCAAGCTAACCAAGAGGGGGGATGAATTGGTATTTTAAAAAAAAAAATTCACAAAGAAGTAAAAATCACATAAACCAAAATCACACCACAAAAATAAGTGCGGAAATTAAAGTGTGGAAGCAAGAAATAAGAACACAGAAATTTATAGTGGTTCGGTCAACTCGACCTACGTCCACTCCCTGGAGGCGCCCTCCGAGTATTGAACTACACTCGTGACTCTCCTTTAGCCCCCACAGCTAGGCAGTGAAGCCTTTACAAAGAACCTCTTTTTGCCACCCAGGCAAGGCAGAGAACCTATCTCCTTTTGCTCCCTCCTGAAGCTGGAAGAGAACCACAATCAGATGCTGAATCCTTACATCTACCGACCCTTCCACGGACGAGAAACTCTAGACGAAGAAGAAGCAGAGCGATCCTTGAACCAACCCTTGTGAATTCCCTCACAAGCTCCCCCTCATAAGATCCTCTCTCTCTCTCTCTCTCTCTCT